CACCCTTACAGAAGGGATTACAATATATCATTTTAGTTTGAATAAATCAGTGGTATATAATAAGCATTGCGATGACGAATAAATCTATCATAGTGCTAGTAATGGTGCAAAATACCTAGAGATTTCTTAGTACTTTCTAAAAACAATTTGTTTCAAGTAAATCTGCTTCAACAGCTGATTGATTGGAACACCGTTATTTGAAGAATTTCTAAAATCAAATTGGAATAAAGAGAAAGCATGTTGTTCTGCATAGAAAAATCACAGAAAATTTCATGAAATAGTAATCTTAGTACATTTAACTAACTTGCGATTACCTATCACACGGTTCGATCGGACTATCGTCATGGACTTGTAATTTTAGCTACATATGTACGCACATATGTAGGCACATCAATGTACATATATATGTTTTAGCTGCTGCCTTCGTGCAGCTTTCGTCACTAGCGTGTGGTGCCTTTCACAGTAAAAAATTGAATTTTGTGTGTAAGTGCAGACCGTGGTTGACTAATAACAATATACATATGAACATATCTATGTTTATATGTATGTACATAAGTAATAAGTATGTGAGCACTTGCATTTGTGGAAATAAGCAGCCTGCATATGTACATATACATCTACATGTCACTCACGCACCGTGAATAATAGAAGAGGTTAGTTAATATAACACAGTTTAATTAGATGGCACTCTCTCTTGTTTCAATTGAATGCAGGACACCAAGTTCTCGGTTAAATATTAATTTTCTAACACAATAGGAAAGTACAATAACAATAACTTACTTTGCAACACTCCAACGAAAAAAAACGATAAAACATAAGTATATATGTACATATGCAATTGTACTATCGAGTACACTTCCCTCCAGATGCGATTGCCGATAGAAACAAAATGGAAACAATGGAACAAATAAATTGAAATTAGTTATATTCTATAACTTAATAATTTGCATTAATTAATTAATATTGTTATTTAACATAATTTCATTAAATATTTTATTTGAGTTGAGCCATCCCTGTTTGAAACAATATGGGAAACATTGGACTACTGAAGCTACTTGGTGAGAATCATTATTTCTCAAAAAGATGGACACACCCATCATCCTTATCTCGCATCCTGGACACCGTCATACCAAAGGTAAGATTACAGGTGGAACGCAAATCAATCTCTTATTATTGTTTAATTATGTTCGCTACTTGTTGCCATAGTTTCGTTTCCAAATTGTTTCAGGCATAAAAAACAGTAATTTGTTACACCATCTAATGTAGTTTTCGATTAAATTGGATTTCCAGATAAATTTACAATGTAATTGCTTATTTTGTATTATTATTGTATTATTGCAAAATTAAATAAATTATTTGTCCATATTGGGTGTCATTGAAGATTTTGGAAACCGACCTTGTTTACCTTACACACCTTGCATTTTTTTAGAATTGCCTTGTCCAATGCACCAACGTAGAAAGTGTTGAAATTATATTTAAATTATATTAAGTTACGTCCCAGGCTACAACAGACACTTCTTTCGCTATCGGCATTAAATTCTTTATTGTTTGCCAGCAAAATAGCAATTTTCCCAAAAAAGGCGCAAAAAATGGAATGTAGAAATATTGATAACGGAGGTTATTCACACTGGCGCTTCCACAAGCGGTATATGAAAAAATACGGCGAAACTTGTCAACACGTCCTCGTCAGGTGTCTCTGTCGATAATTACATAAATATGTAGTTCATTTGTAGTTCCTGTGTAGTCACAAAGTAATAACATATACATTTTGTGGACATATTTTGTTAAAACCCTTTTTCCATTAACATTTCCTTACAAATAAGCCCTTAAAATAAGCCAGTCTTGTAGGAAATTGATGAATTTATCGGGTGCAATAATATGATCAGATATAATGGCTCCATCTAGTTGTAATACTCAGAAGAATATCAAAATCGATAAATATGTTTCCACGGAAGGCAGCGCTGCCGGCGTTGCTGTGTTTTTTTTAACACGCAAGAAGTAACAAAATAAATTTAACAAAAAAACCTTTTAGTTTAATTAGACACAAAATGCAGCATATTGAGCTGCATAAATAGTTACCAAAAGTGTGTACGAGTGCACTGTTCACATATTAAATATTTGTCTTGGTTTTCGCTTTCATTTTTCGGGCACAACGAACGCCCCTCCGTGTTTTCTTTTGTTTCTATATTTTATTGTTACCGTATTAAACTGAACAACAACATAGTATGCCACCCCCAAGACCTAAGGGGACAGGATTTACTACAGGAGTTACCCCAGCCAGACCAAACTCAAACACGCCCATGTCCGAAAGACAGCAAATGGCTCTCTTAATGCAAATGACTGCTACATCCTCCACAGGTAAACAGTACATATATGCACATATACATGTATGTACACATGTATAAAGATAGTGATTTATGAATAATGCCAGTCAAAACGCAGCGAAAAAGCCATCTCCAATGCGTAATAAACGCATCCGTGATTGCGCGGGGCCTGCGGGAACCAGCAATTGCACACAAAAAGTAGGCCGCAAGGGCTAGCACTAGTTATAAAGTGTTTTTAGAATATTAATACATTAAAGCTAATATAGACGCCCCATAGTTTCCATTATATGATCTTCTAAAAGCTGCAAATCGCTTAGCAACTTCAATGCTTTCATTTCCATGATCCCACAGCTTATTTCGTACTCGTGGAGCCTGTACGCTTTTCATACATACATATGTACATATGGACACACCAACGCACACATATACAAACAGTACAGTCGGCAAGAGGAGTTTCCTTTCACTTAAACTGGGAGGTCCATCAGACTGGGTGCTAACTGGAAGCACTAACCAAATAATATAGTATATATACTATTTGGTTAGTGCTGGAAGCTCCCATATTCAATATTTAGGAAAATTTTGATACTAATGGATATCACCTAATTGTTTAATTACAGACTCAACCCGAACAACTATAAAGAAGAGCGAATCGAAGAAAGGAGACATAGAGATTGAGGAGACTAATTCCACGGATAAGCAAGAAGTGAATGACTCGAAAGACAAAACATCAGCGGATGAAAACAGCTCGGATGGCAAAAACGCTGATGCGGCCAACCAAGGTACGCCCGGTACAAAACGAAGCTTCTCAGACATAGAGGAGGAGTTCGAGGAATCTGGCGAAGAGCTAAAAAAGAAGAAGCGCAAGGACTCGGAACATTCAAAGGACTCGAAGGGTGCCTCCGTAAAAGTATCCGCCAGAGTGGAAAAGGGCTCAAAGCTAGCGGCGACCAAGGCCTCACCTTCCGGCAGTAAAGCCAACGCATCGAGTGCCGATAAGGAGCAGGTGGAGATTAATAAGAATGTCGATATTGAGAATGAAACGGAATGCAGCGATGATTATAAGAGTAATGATAGCATATACAATGGAGGACTCAAGGTGCCGCCATTGAAGATTGTGATTCCGCAACAGAATTGCTCGATTGATACCGAGGGAAATGTTCTGCGAACTGGCAAGGTGGCTGCCTCGCGAAGTGCGGCCCTGCCCTATGTTGTGAGCTCAAACAGTGACTCGATTGATGCCGTCATAACGACCACCCAATGCATGAGCCCACACGAAAGCCCACAAAAAGGTAGCAACATCATTTGCTCCACCGTCCTTGATGACAAGAACATTAAGCTATTCAATGATGAGAAGAATTTAAGAGTTCTGCGAAGCTCCCATCGGTCTGGTGTGGCCAGTGCCGAACGCAGTTCGAACAACTCATCCCCACAAATGCAGAGCAGCTCCCCGTCGCCGGCGTCGTCGCATCATGCCAATGATAATGTGGATGTGAAATTATCCTACGGTAACATGACTTCCAGTCCCATACCGCAGAGTGCCCAGTTTGACCAGGACGCGCTAACCAATGTGCCGAGTCCATCCACGTCGTCGACATCGTCGTCAAAGGATGTCAATCCCTCCTCAAACGTTGACGTCCATCCGCGAAAGCGTAAAATACGGCCAAAAACTAGCACCGATGATGCCTCAAAAAACACAAACCTGGATGCTGCTGCGAATGCTGAAGAATCTCATCCTCATGATTCCCCCTTCACAAATGGATTTCAAATGTTCTTGAGTATTCGAAGACAGATTGAAAAGAAGTGGAAGAACTTGTATCCCATTAAGCCACGGCCACCCCAAGGCTACAATGAGTATCTGTTGACAAAGAGAACGTATCTGTTGAGAAAAACGGCGGGAAAAATAGAGATTCAAATACCGAAAACATTGCCCGAGAGCATGCACAAGATTTATGAGGTTCAGGAAACGGCCAGACGTCATTTGAATCGGCAACATACGGTGGAGCGCGAGAAGCTTTGCTTGAATGTAGAACAGGAGATAATTCGTGTGCATTCAAAGGCGGCCAGAAGTATATCCGGCCAACTGGCACCGTACTCCGTTTGTACTTATCTGAAAGATGACGAGGTCTACAATATGTTTACGCCAGAGCAGGACGAAAAGGAAAAGAGTGCACGCTGCCGTTTCAATGGGCGTTTGTTACTCAGCTGGCTGCAAGATGTGGACGATAAATGGGAGAAAATTAAGGTAGGAATGAAGTTCGAAGGTAACTTAGGTAATTGCTACAATCTCTGGTTTCCTTTTGTTTAGGAATCTATGGTTTTACGGCATCACAATGAGGCGGAAAGCCTGCATGCCGTCCAACGTATGGATTGGAATATCTGTGCGAGAAGAAAATATCTATCGGATGCGCAACTGGAAGCGACTTTAGAATATATACCCATTGTTTCTGTTGGTGATGATTTTGACATACTGCCTAACTAACAAATAAAGTTATAAAAGAAAGCAATCTCATCGAATTCTGTCGGTTTGGTGGCTTCAATGAGAGATAAGGATGACCCAGAGTGTGTGCTTTGGTTGCTCCTCTCAAGCTGCAGACATATTTGCAAGATCACATGTAAGAATCAAATCTATTATTTGTATTCGATTTAGTACTTAAGTACTATTTTCGGTATAGATTTCATTGGAGCTCAAGTTCGAGTTTCGCCAATCCCAGTACTGTTTAAAATTGCATTATGAACAGACAGGTGATTACGGAACGGAGCCTACAAACTGTCCACTGTCGCACGGGGATCAGCGCTCCAAGAGGAATATGTTTCGTAAGTTTAAATCAAAACTGCAATCCACGTAATCGGCCTAACAAGCGCACAATTCATGTGGATCACTGGTTGATCCAAGACTACGCAACCCACTGCCATTGGAGCGCGGACTTCCGGGAGACAGTAGATCAGCTTGTAGGCCCTGTTCCAGCTAATCTTGTACTGAAATTTCCAATAATACTGAGCCAAAATGCATTAACAATTTGACGAGACTCTTGCGTGATCCCTTTTAAGATTTCTACCAACTAAATTAATATATTTAACCGTTTCTGTGATTGTTATATCGAGCAAGGCAGTGCTCTTTCAATTCAAGTTGTCCAAAATTTCCTTTGCATAATTAACTATGTCCTAAAAGTATAGAAAAGGAAACAAAATGCTTTAGAGAAATGGTCAACTGAATTTCTGTGGATAAACCTTACCTCACAATCTTCGTTTTGTTTGTTGTTGGAGATTACTTGTGCCAAGATAAGCTCCAAGTTCTTGCGTTTCTCCGCAGACAGTTTCAAATTCGTCTTCGTTGAGAGCGTGGACAGTGCATGGAGGGTGGTCTCCTGTTTCACATCAAAGTCATCGATGGGTTTCACGTTCTCCATTAACATAGAAAATGCGTCGGAATTAACAAAAGCATCTGCAAAATAAATGGTATTTAAATGTCTTCTGTTATATATTTTTAATAATGTTCGTACCTCTCAGCGACTTATCCAGTGAGGACAAGGATGCTATGAGAAATGCTGATTTTATATAGACATCTGAATTGGCGGACTTCAGGCACGGCAGTAGCGCCTTAACACCATTTATTCGCTTGAACTCATTCATGCCTGGCGGAAAGCTGCGTATTATCGATGAGATGGCATAGATGGAACACCGAACTATATTCTCATTACTCTTCGCTTCACTCAAATTTCGTGCAAGCGCAGGCAAGAATTTATCCTTGGTGAATATGTCCTGACAAAATATGTTATTTTGTGCCATTTCAGCGACAATATTAATGGACAATGCCTGCAGCTCCCTTTGCGGCGCTGTTACATATCGGATTAAAGTCTTTGTGCCGCCCATTTTGGCCAGGGCATTCGCCAGATCGATGTCATCAATGTGGCTCCTTAGATGATCCAGACTCTCCTTCTTTTCCTCTACACTCGTCGCTAGGCTGTCTAGAATTTCTAATGCGGTTTTAAAGTCATTCGATGCGCCGACTGTGAGTGAATTAAGTGCACCCTCTAGGAATCGACTTTTCTGAAAGTAAATAAATAATGGTTAGCCTTTTCGTGGAGAATTTTAATGTACACAGAAATAATCAGATTTGTTTGTCACCATTTACTGAAGAAATAAATCATTTAATCACGCCAGATCTATAAACAAGATTGGCTTCTGGCAGCCCTTACTTTCAGAATTTCCACGAATTGCAGCATAAACAAACAGAATTCGGTTCGAATTCGAAATGCGATCTAGTTAGAACCAAAGCGGCTATCGCTAAAATAAACGGTTGATTGTGAATCATTGTCATTTATGGAGTTACTTCTATGGTTCCTTCTAGAATCTAGATCATTCGCGAAGCCAAATTCCATGACAAATCGAAAACTGAATGAATTTTACTGGCTGCCAGGCGACACTGAGCCTGCGGAATCTTCTTTGATGAAAATATGTTGCATCTATTATCTTTACAGCTTTATGGGGATACAAATGACATAGTTTATTAGAAGATTCACATACCTCTTCATCTAGATCGGTGCTTAGCTGTGCATCGGCTTCTGTGTTTGTAGTGTGTTCAACCGAATATTTCAGCACACTCTACAAATGGAAAACATTAGAAACGCTAACTGATTAATCCTTTGTTTGACTTGCCTGTAAATTTAATGCTCTTCTCGGTGAATTACCAGACATTTTTTAAGATTTGTATTTCAGCTGGGCACTTTTTGGCGAACTTCACATGCTATTAGGTATGGAACTCGCTGACAGCAGTCGTGATGATTGAGATGGTACAGAAACTTATCGAAAATGGATTGAGGCAACTCTACACAATATATATTTCACTTATTTCAGTTGAATTGAAATGTTAGTTGTCTAAAATAAGTTGCCATGGTTTATTATGCATTAATATTTTTCGCTCGTTTAAAGTAGTTTGATATATATAAGTTTTGATTTACAATTTGTCTCAGACCACTCCACGTTCCTATTCATCGAAACGAGTGGAATAATTCATTTACCGTATTTACGACATGTAGATAGTTCCCATCATATGGTGGCAATTACACTACACCCATATGTTTGTTTGGAAATAAGTTAAACGTAAATAAAAAGCCGTAACAGCGGCTGCGGTGATTCAACAACCATGTTAAGAGACCTTATAACGTGGGTCTTGAATACCTATCTGGGCAAATACCTGGAAAACTTAAACTCGGCGCAATTATCTGTTGCTCTTTTGACAGGTAACGGCACATTCTTGCATATTTCATAATTGCATTGTGAAATTGTTTGTTCTCTTGTAGGCGAGGTGGAGCTTGAGAACATACCGATACGAAAAGATGCACTACGAGCGCTCAACCTACCGGTGGAGGTGGCCGGTGGCAGCATACGTAAAATCAAACTCCAAATACCTGTCCGGCAGTTCCGAACCTCCCCTTGGTGCATATCGGTGGAGGGGCTGTTCTGCATCATTTGCCCAAAGAACCTGGAGAACTGGGACTATACCAAAGAGAAACTACAGGATCTGGAATACAAGCTAGCTGTCTTGGACAATGCTGAGGCAGGCTGGCGGTCCGAGAAGGGAATGCAAATGGATGCATATTACTTTTCCTCCTACAACAACTGGATTAAATATGGCACGAATATGGCCACCAACATTATAGACAACATTGAGCTGAAGATATTTGATGTGCACTTTCGATACGAGGACAGTGTGGATGCGGGAAAAACCAAAATAGCAACCGGCATCAAAATTGCATCGTTAACCGCCCAGACCTGCGATTCTAATTGGACAAGCGGCTCGTTTAAGGCTGCCAACAACGAAATGAACTACAAACTAGTGGAGCTGAAGGAGCTGTCCGTTTACTGGGACATACTGCATGAAGACATTACGTGCCAGTCGTTCACCAATCAGGAAATTCTGAGTAAATTGCACTCGACCTGCGAGCTGCGGCCCCACAACTTTATCATTAAGCCGATTTGCGCAACTGCACGATGGAAACGAGACAAGTGCAAACAGGTTATACGCACAAAAGACAAGCCAAGAGTCTCGTGTGAGATTATAGTTCCTGAAGTAATTATAGATATATCTAAGGTAAGTTTTCCCACTCCATTAGATACCCTCTCTACAAATATTTGGATATTTTTAGGATCAGCGTCTGCAAATGTTGGACAAACTTGCAAGAATACGTAAAATTAAGGAAATCAGACAGTACAGACTTAAGAGGCCAAGTTGTAGTGTGGCAGAGGATCCGAAATTGTGGTGGAAATATGCCCTAGTTTGCCATGGCTTTATATTTAAAACGAGAGAAGAAAACTTTGCCATTATGAGCGAGAATCTGCGCTACATGCTGCTCTACAAGCTGATCATAATGAATCCAAATCATATTCTGTCGGACGAAGACAAAGAATTTAAAATGTATATCGAAAGCGACAGAAACGTTTCGGATCTAAGTATTCTGAGACGAATATGCTTTGACAAAGTCTTTAGCAAAGGTCTCGCGTTCAAGTCGCAAAATGTAAAGGTCAAGAAAATGTTTTTCCTTTGGTTTCCCAACTGGAAGGGCTGGTACACCATCATGCCAACGAGCCCTGCGAGTAACGAGCCGGATGAGTCAATCAAACATTTGGAAGACGACATTTTGGTGGCCCTAGAGGACTCCATGCAAAATTCCTCCGATCTCAAGTGTGATGCTGTCTTTGGACACTTTGAAATTAAGCTACTGAAAGGCCTGCTAATCGTGCGATCCGATAAGACGATTAAAGATGCTAAGAGCCAAAAGTCGATGGAAATGCAATTCAATAATTTTTCATCGTTTCTTCAGCTAAGTCCGCTCTTTACTTCTTACACTGTGGGCGTAGCCCTAGAGGAAGTTTATTTATTAGATAAAACCAACAGCAATACCAAACACAAATACCTAATTAAGCCACAGACCGAGAACGCTCCAAACGTGAATACACTCGAAAAGGATGTTCTATTTCAACTGCGATACGAAAATGCAAATCAATTGCGATTTCAACTAAATATTAAGTCAAAGGGTTTGGATCTAACATACAACAAGGATGCGATTTACTGGATTTTGGATTTCATAACCGATTCAAGTGAAGAAAATGCTTCAACAATAGCCTCGAGCCGCGCCGGAAAGCGACGGAAGAACTTTTTGAAAAACTGGAATCAATTGTTCATTGGCAATGAGGCAAGTAGGCAAAAACTCCTTTATAATGTGTTTTTTTTTAATAGCTACTCTTTATCCATAGGTTAATCGCAAGACCTGGTTGTTTGAGATTGAGATATTTGCACCGCGCATCATATTTCTGGAAAACTACAAAATTGGCAACTCGCTGATGGTTCTGTTGGACTTTGGAAAGTTTGAAATGAGAAAAATGGAGGCGAAGAAATGTCTTCCTGCTGTGGTAATAGATCCAGCAGCAGATAACCTTCAACAAATAGTTAACAATGATGATGATGACGACGATGATGAGGAAACTTATATGACGCCATGCTCTACGCCGCCTGCATCGCAAAAAAGTGGCTCGGTATCACCCACCATCCGTGAGAATGTTCAACATTTTCTCAACAAGAATGTAGAGCTGGAATATGTGCTGCACAATAAGATCTACGACAAATACTCTATCAACTTTTCAAATCTGCAAGTGCTGGTCTGCAAGTACGAGGAGAGGTGGCAAGCTTGCTTAAAAACCTCCTCGAACTTTCACTTAATTGATAAATTTGATATAACGATCACGCTGGAGCAACGCAATATATTTACAGTGGATCCCGAGTATCCGTCATTCACTTTGTTCGGCTCCTGTCCCACCATCCTAATACACGGAAATGAATTGCTCATCAATAACTTCTTTGGCATAATGAATCCAACTGTAGATACGCTCAAAGATGTGGGCAAAGTGTATAGAGGAGGAAACCAAACGTATGCCAGTGAGCAGAGGGTAAACAATCTTGACAGCATTGACGACAAAAGTCGAGTCGTGGTTGAGTTTGCCATTGGACAACTAGCCATAGAGATGCAGTCCAAGGAAAAAAGCATAGCTGAGTTGCAGATAATCGGTGCGAGAGCGGGTCTAATCAAGGAATCAAATGAAACAAATATAACAATGTCTGTGCATGGACTTCTGCTGGTGGATGCCATACAATCCTTTGGACCGGACTTTGAGCTACTAGTGGCCAGTCATCGACATGTGGGGTAGGTGCAGAAAACTTCCCAAATCAAATATGTATTCTATTTGGTTTTGCACTTGCAGAATGGATAGTCTTTCGGGCAGCCTAAAACATAGTCCAATCGCTTCGCCTATTACTCCTGGATCGCCTTTGCCTTTTGCATTTTCAGAAAATGCAGCAAGCAATCTACAAATGGGTATTAAAAAAAAACTTAACTCTTTATCTATTTTATTTCATTTATATTTATTTTTGTAGATGATCCAATTGCTGCCTTCTGTGACGATGAGGAATCTGCTTTAATTTCTGTAAAAGTAAAAATTGTTGGGCCCACTGCTAGCAATGCAACGCAACTTCACTCCACAGACATTACCTTCAATAATTTGGATATAATCGCCAATCAGGATACTATTCTTGAGATTTTAAATTTTGCCAAACGAACGATCTTAAGTCAAACTACGAGCACATTGCAAGACGAAAGTTGTGGCATCAAGGAAGAGGCCTTGACAGAGCCAACCGAATTGGATGAGCCCGATGCCACTCAGCAGAACCACAACGAAATATTCTTCGACTTTTTTCGACTGAATATTTTATTGTTATATAAAATAAATCATGGAGGTCGCAAAGTTGGAACACTGACCTTGACGGAAGCCAAGATAAATGCTTCTTTTCAGACGGAACTGACAGTATTTGGATCACTGGGCGGCATACAGATCATCGACATAACACCAGAGGCCTTTTTCCTGCCAAGAATTCTGTCCGTCGGCCGCGATCAAATACTGAGGACCTCCGACTTGAATCGACAAACAGTTCTGAACAGACTCTCGCATGAAATATATTCAAAAAATTTGGATGATGTAGATGAAGATGAAGAAGATGTAAAGTGCGATGAAATCGATGCGTTCAGCTTTAAGAGTCACTGGAGCGATAAAACCACATGCAGCGTTCAAGTACGAATGGCATCGGTGTCCTATACACATTGTCCCCGATTTTTGCAAGATGTAAATGCCTGTATAACATATTTCAAGAAAAGTTTGCGGTACGTTTAGAAGTAATTTATGTATGAATATTTAATGAAGTTAACTTTGAACCTATTTGTACATTTTCAGAGAGTTTTTGACTTCCATCGGCAACAAGGCAACAGATATGGCTAAAGAATTTGTGCAACAAATCCGCGCAACGGATGTCAATGATCAAACACGGCCAGTTAATCCACAGAAGAATCGGCATAACAATCGGTAAGTACCCGAATATAATTGCATTTTTATCACCTAATTTATCTTTTATTATAGATTGGATATCATCATCAATAGTCCCATTATACTATTGCCAATATCGAGTACTAGCACGCATGTTTTAATTGCAAATTTGGGCAAGATGACGTGCTCGAATATGATTGTAAATGACTCAAATGAGTTTGACGAATCATACACCATAAAGATCAAAAACATTTACGTATATTCGATGACAATTGATGAGCGTGAGAACTGCTTTAATGTGCATCCATCGAAGAATAAGGATGCTATTCCCATACTGCCCGACACGGCCATCACTTTGCAGCTGTCTGTGGGCTATAACGACGGGAACGGGAATGGTGAGGAGC